TTAATTGAATCAATTATAAAATCCCAGAGTATTCATGTGATTCACTATGTGAATCAGCTGAGAGATTCTTTTTCGCAAGAGGAAAAATTGTTGTCAAATCGTAAATCGACAACAGTGTATGATACAACCACAAGTACAAACAAAACAGATGAAGGATCAGTAGATCATCTGTTTTGACTGATTACGCAGTTGCTTGACATTACAGCCACAAGTAGGTATAACCAATCAGCTTCTTTAATGAAAATGTAGGTTCTTGACATATTTTAAAAACAAACCTGCGAATGTGTACGTGTTGATTATAATTGAATTAAATAAACAACAATTAACTAATATAAATGTCTAGCAGTTTCAAAAATGTATCGAGACAAATAGTTGGTTACTCCCAATTTTCCACAAAATAACTACGTTGATTTTGATAGTATATAAATCGCGTAATAGTCGACTTGATTGCTAGAATTAGTCTCAATAGTATACTTACCCGTACTACCTTTTTATAAATAATACCTAACTTTACCATCCCTTTTCATACTATTTTTTATTAGGAAAACAATAATGTAATATACATATCATACATAACAAACGATTTAAACAACATTGTTCTCTAAATCTGCTAAATTATATGTACGTAGTATCGTTTAGGAACTTTAAAAGTTTCCTTCAAGTAAGATTTTAAATCAAATCATGTAGTCATTTTGAAAGTCCTTTAAAGCCTCTATTGCGACCGCTAACGGAGGCGCTGGTTAACTGAAAATAACTGAGTAAGCAGTGGCAAATAATAGAGCTACTCTACTACTTTACTTATGGACCTACTGACGGCTAACTGAAGTTTGTTTATTACTGGTGGTCTAAAAAGTAGATAAAGAACAAAAAACCCTGCTTTTTAATATTAATTGACGTCAATGATTATTAAATATTATCCATTCATACCTCAAAACCTTATTTAAAATGCGATACGAATTTGTAATTCAGATCCATAATAAATTAGGTTTAGCAATATTGATTATGATTTTAGATCTGACACAACATTGAGAGTTTCTGTTTTGTGAACTGTTAGATAACAGTTCCTTCGACAGGTTTGAAAATTCTAACAATGTGTTAGTTTTTAAACACGTTTCATTAATCGCCCTGGTAACCAATTGAGGTCTACGACCTTTGGAATTTCCATAGATATCTGAGTTTTGACCATAAATACTTGATGTAAAACAATACGTCTATTTTCAAGGTAATAAGGTAATTTAGCAACCCAATAAAATCAGGAATGCACAAGCCTCTGGAATGGTTTATCATTTTTATATTATGTTACACCTGCGCGGTCTATATTCATCAAGTTACGTGATTACCTAATAACAGGAATCATTAGCACGTGAATCATTAACTCGAATTACTTATATGATATTAAGTCATCGTTAAAAACATATAAATGGTAAATATTCTACTGTACTATGTTTGAATAATATAGCACAGTGTTAAACAACATGATCCTGATTAAAAAATATATAGTTAGGGAGAAAGGGGACAAGTTACCACCACCACACCGACCACAAGAAAAATAATGACTTAGGGATTTTTTTATGGATGATATTGGAAGGTGTACCCGCCTACGCTAACGGTTTACGCTGGCGGGGCATCAATAGAGGGTGATAAGATGAGCATGAGGTCAGGTCCGTTAGTCCATCGTGACAAATTCAACAATAATTTATCACAAAGGTTTACAAGGATAACTGCGTGGAGTCATCCAAACGATGATGACATTGCTAGCAATAAGTCCCTCAGTCCACATTACTAATGATGTCCTTTCAGCTCCGATATAGGGAAATTAACTTCGTCCAAGTTTTCTTTAATTTAATTAAGTAAATTTTTGCTAATAATTGCTTTGTATTTGCTATAAATAGTGTAAATATTTAATGAATGAAAAAGTAGTTCATAATATTCAAAACTATTTTTAATTCTGCATAACGACTGAAATAAGAGTTTAACTATAGAAATTACAGTTTTATATTTTTTTCTCAGTGTCAGTTTGTCTATTCATCTATTTTTATGCGGACATTTTATATTAAGGTGACTGGAGTGACTATGGATATAAAAAATATATTTCTGTTGTATTGAACTAAAGATGGCTTAACTTGTCCAAATGAACAAAATTGTTTTCGCAAAGTCAACTCATCAAACTATGGTACAAAAGGTGCATTTTAAAAGAACATTTCACTTTTTTGGGTACTTTTCTTAATATACAAACATCTAGTCTAACGCTGAAATCCACAGTAGATATAGCGCAAAAATTAAATCTATGAATGATACTATTTTCTAGTATCATTCATAGATTTAATTTGTAATTGTAATTGTAATATTGTAGGTATTTCGAAAGTGCTTACGTTCTCATTTCTAGCGAGAATTCTTAAAGTAATAGGTATACAATGTTGTAATAATACACAAAAATTATATAATATCTATATTAATGGTTTAATCGTCCCTGGTTTACTCTACTTAAGAGTAAATCTGTACAGTAAGCGTTATGAGATCAGTGCAAATATAACAATACACATATATAAGATGGACTATGTGATGGTCAAAATGACATGGTGCCTTTCTGAGAATAGTGTCTGGATTCTCTCTAACAATCTCATCCCCCAAACTAGGCTAGTGAAGCGTTCAATTTAGGGGCGTATGTATTTAGAATGAAAATGTATATAAACTGATTGAAGGAGTGAGTAGCTGAGTTTCTTGTCAGTTTTTCTTAGCTTGAAAATACATTCAGAACTGACATAAAATTTAACTTGTCTGAGTGTCTATAATTAGATTCACATGTATGAATGAAGATATTTAGATTTGATTGATTGATTAAAGACTATAAAAAATACGAGGCGGGGTAATAAGAACTAGATAGGGTTTACTTACTTTATTTAAGTTTGCCAAGAGCAAATTGTTTCATCAAATAGTTTGGTTAACAGGTATGTGTGATTTATCACTGTCGTATGTGAAATACTATAAATAAGTAGAAAACGTAAGTATCTGTGACAGAGTAGTAAGAATTTAGTACACTATAATCGATGGCAATATTGGAGCACATGCGGCGATAGTAAAGGCGACTGGACACCGGTGAGCACATGAAAAATCGACCTTGATTTAGAAGCGCGATCTAGGATTTCTTTTACAAAATCTTATATTTATATATTTACAGCTTCATTGACCCGTAGGCACTCCAAACCCGCGGAACCACGTTATAGGTGCTTGTAATTTCGATCCTCGTTTGAAACAGGGATACAGCTAACTATATAGGGGGCTGTTTATATTGTTTCCCCTGATTTTAGTTCAGTCTGAAGACCATTTATCTTAGCGTATTAATTACCGTCTGCCTGTACGGAAGAATTATGAATGCTAATTTCCTAAACGAGAATTTTGGATGGCTATTTGAAAGTATGTTATTATTTTTAAAAAGTATGTTATTATTTTTAAAATGATTGAAATGAAATAAGTATCATATTCTATTTTTTATATCCATTATAATGGAGTAGAGCACTGGCCTACACTAGCGAGATACGCTGGCTAGGCACAAGTGGAGGATGAATTAAGTTAGCTCATTATGACAAATACATGATGGTTTCCAGGAGGGATTATTTGGAGGTCGACCTGACAGTATACATTTCTAACAATATATTCACTAGTGCCCATTACTAATAATGACCTTTCCCCTACATTCTAAATTAAAGTGTGCTTATATACCTATCGCCTAATACATGACTGGATTAATACAAAAATTGAAAATACTTGAAATTAGACTTTAAAGCTAGAACGAGTGGATTTGTGTATGCTTGTAATTTGAATTAAGAAAGAGTGAGTTTTCCAAAATTTATATTTTTTTAGCTTATTTAGTATAGCACTAGATGCGCAGTATATAAAATGTATTTTACCGGAATTGATTTTCAGCATTTATAATTGATTTCCAATAAGTACTTTCACAATTTAGTTTATAGTAAATGTGCTTAAATTTCTATGTTAATTGGTAACAATTAACATCAACAAGTGTTCAGAATTAACAAATAGGTAAATTAATATAATGCGAAGTTAAGTCAAAATTGTGTTAAGTTTTAATTTATATATTTGTCTACTTAGGTATCTACATATAAGTCTACATCGTAGGCGTGACCGTAGGTATATATATATGTATATAAAATATTTTAACGAATATCAACAATAGTAGGTAGGTACGTACGATGTACATAAATCACTACGTAATCAGCAAAAACTGGTTTTGTTAATCGATTTCAGAAAAGGAGGAGGTTCGCAACAAGTCGTTTGCATTTATTCTTTTATACTTATTACGTCGCCGATTGATTTAATCAAAAATCGTCACTTTTTAGATGACCTCATACAAGAATATTTATTAAAATAAAATTAATTGCAAAATGTACACAAACATATGTCAGAAAGTGTGCACCTATTATTTCGTAAATGTTAATATATTAGATTTTGTTTGAATTATCAGGACTCGAAGTCAGGACTTTGTCAGGATTTGTAAAAAATATGGAAATGTTTGAACCATACGGAAAATAACAAGAACTACTTAAAAATTATTTTCTCAATAAAAACATTTACATTTAATTTAATTATTATGTGTTCCTAATGGTACGTCCATAAGGATCACATATTTGGTCTGATTTGTTGTGATGTAAACAGGGGCTGTTAACTAGTTTGTTAAATTAAAACAGGTTAAAGAAACATATTCATTATAAAAAAGTTTATTAAACTATTTTTTGTTAACTTTTAATAAAATCTATCGACTACCACCGCTTAGGTAGTTACCAATCAAAACCGCAAGACGTTTCCGGAGGCTGGACGGTATCTCGTAATCTATGACGCGGTGGTGGTCTTTCCATGGGCCAAAGAAAAAGTAATCAAATGTGGATAAACCACAAGCCTCCAACTTGAAGTCTGAATGGGTCACTTAATGCCAATATTATGTTTATACTTATCTAGTAAGTCAGTACTCAATTGGCCGCCGTCATGGTCGGACAGGTTCGGCCAAGATGAGACACGATCGTAAAACAAGTTTGAATAAAGAACAAAAATGAAACCGTTGAGCTGTTGTGTTATTGTTTTGGGACTGTTCGATTTTTTTGTAACTGGCCAGTCTCCTTGCCCGGGTATATTTGATTACCAAAACGATGGTGGTGTTGTGTATGGGATAATCAGGGTGCCTTCCAATGGACCAGTGTCATCTGTGACGACGAGAGCGAACTTCACTATAGCGGCGCGACTTCCTTCTGTGAGTGATTTATGTGATATTCATTATTAGTTTTCGACGCAACAAAGCATTGTCGAGTAATAAATATTTACTAGATCTCTAAAAGTATGTGCGATGCATACTGATCCCAAGATTTACGTATTCTTTTAAACACATAATGCGCAATACTTTCACTGATAAACATAAAGCTGAAATATATCTGCAGCTAAGTTATAAAAAAAAATATCAACAATTGTGATGTCCATTTTTGTATGCATCAGATCATTAAATATCTATGTAATTGCAACTCTGTAGTTAAATAGATAGGAATGTGTTGGCATCATAATTTTTGCATATTATTGTTCTTTCCACAATTAGGTACCTACTTTATCAGAGGAGATACAAAGTTGAAATACGATTGAATAAAAAAATAGGTTGGTAGGTATATAGAGAATAAAAAAAACTTTGGCGATACACTATTATTTTTTTAATCTTAAAAATATTGAGGGTTTATTCCGGAGAATAAGCCAGCGCCATCCGTGCAACAATACACTATATATAAACTATGGTACGTACCATAGCTTAGATACATTGTTTCTGATATACACTTTAAAGACGCAAATTATTTTTATTCAATGTAAGATAGTTTCTAAAATGAAACCGTGACCAATATTTCAAACATACTCCTCAACACGGATAGAAGCTAAGATACAGTGTATCATAAGTATGTACCTGCATACAAAAACTATAATGGAATCGAGAACCTTCTTTCGGTTCAGTAAATTCGGATAAGCCGGTTGAACAAAGAAACATTTGTATAAAATTAATTGATTAAAACCTATTGATTCACAATTTTATTCGCTAATATATCACGTATTATGTAGAAATTTTCTTTCTTGAAATGATTAATTAAGAAAGAGCCTTAAGCTGCAACAAATTTTGTGTGAGACTAATACAAAATTAAACCGAGGCAGACTTTCTAAAAATTCATCTGTGTGAGTATCTCAATCTCATATATTTCAATCGCCAAGCAGCTTGTCTTATAAGCTTTTTTTCGGTTGAAGGGTCGAGCTAAGGCGGTGAAATTATAGGATACGAGGCATAACATCTTATTCTTCCGGACTGGCGAAACAGGTGTGGTATTAGAAGCGTCCCATGATAACGTTATGTCCGTGGTGCTGTTCCTATGTACAGGCAATAGTTAGCTTACCGTTCTTTAATCGTAAGCTTGTTTGCCATTCCTTTCACAAAAAAAAAAACCTAAGAACTTATTTAGTCATAATAATATTACAAACGTGAAAGTTTGTAAGTATAGATCTTTCTTACTCTTTCACGCAAAAACTACTGAACGGATTTTGATGAAACTTTACAGTAATATAGCTTAGGTATCAGAATAACACAAAGGCTATATATTTAAATTTAATGCGGGTGAAACCGCGGGCACAGGTTTACGAAAGTGAAACAATTTGTAATTTTCTAAATTCCTAATTGTTTGAATCACAGATATCAATAAATGTATACAAAACTCTACACATTTATTACACGTACTTATTTAGACACAAAGTTAAAACAACAAAAAAAATCTAAATAAATTTAGTATCTATTAAAAAAGCAGTGACTTATTAAGTTGTTGGACTCCCTTCATCAACTAGAAAATGAGTTTATAGTCTTCAAATCTCATTTATAAATTATAGCTAAGAAAAATTACGTCAGCTGTCAGACAAATAAAGAAATATGCCATGATGCCACAGATCCTTTTTTTTTTATTGGGTTGTTTGGGCTATTGTCAGATATTTGTAGCAAATGTAGCACTGCGACCTATATAGTTCTATTGTGCTCGCCCTTTTTCATAGTTCGCTACCCGTCAGGCACAAGAATTAAAGGATATTCTTTCAAGCGATGGTTTTTATCTGGTCGGGAAAGAGTGTAAACTTTCCAAAGGAGATATTTCGTTTATGCATGAGTGGGCTACAACCACATAGGATGTGTAGTGGCGTTTCCTCTTCAGTTTGGCAGAATCTGCAGATTTTTGTCGTGCATCGGCCTAGTTTAGCTATATACAGACCGTTACACAGAAGGATTAATCTTACCTTTTTTCGATAGGAGTAAATAACACTTTGTAAATAAGTAGGTAATAAAAGTATTAATACAATATTTCGTTGTCAATTGAAGAACGAACCATTGTTGTTGTTTTATTATGTTTGTATTATTTTAGTATTACCTACTTATGTTTCAAAATAAGAGTATCAAAATGGATTGGATTGAAAACGATCTTAAGGCAGATTCAGAGAAGCTTGGCAACTAAATATTTAAAAATATTATTATCAATTCTCAATTAAAATATTTGCAGTATAAATTTTATAAAGCATTTGCAGAGTTGCAGATGCGACCTAAGTTGTACATTTCCCAATTACAACAGTTTAATAATATAATCCGTACATAACTAAAAAAATGATCCCATTTCCCATCCATCCCCCTTTGTCACACTTAAATCACACATTTAAAACATTAAAATTTAAATGTGCGGTCACAAAATCTAAGTCCCCGCCTAGGTGGCTAGATTTCATTAGTTTTTACACTAACTGTGAAATACATCCAACTTCTTGTAGACTTTAATAATAATATCTTTAAATAATTACACCCCTGCGATTATATACATAGATGTACACTCCTCTGTGGTTATAGTGTAATGCTGTGTAATGGTATGTAAATAGTACCTGTTGTTTGTATCTACTAATGCCCATATACCTATTCCACACGTTATATCATAGTGCAGGTGAGAAGCATACAAATGACTAAAACTTAGGTTTGTGGGAACATGTCCTGTATATAACATTATAATTACATTTATGTTCACTATAAGAATGTAATTATACAGGGTGAAAGACTACTCATAAATCTGAATTACTTTATTCAAAGTGAAATAAAAATATAATTTTTGACATTTTATTACGACATTGATTAAGTAACCATACGGTTTGTGTAAAAAAAATTAACACTGATTCAAAATATTTCAACTCCTCGCGGTTTCCCCTGAAAACCATCGTGATTAATTCCTGAATTTGCATACCGTTAACACAATGCGGTGAACCGTGAACCATTTCTTTATCATTCGTTGCAAAAATACAGGGTTGTTGAAATAGGTGTACCTATATCAAACATACGGCGTAAATATAAATAAAAGAGATATCGAAATAAAATTACTTACCATGTCGTAATTCTGTAATATCCTGTTCATGAAACTGCAAAACTTTCACCTTCGAGAAAGTTGTTCAATGCATATATACTGACAATACCTATAATGTAAGATATCTTGTACATATTTGGCTATATAAAATTTGGTAATATGCGAACTAGCGGCAGGTCAGCTTGACTTCCATGGGCCTCCTTGGAAACCTTTGTTGTTAATTTCATTAGAATTATTAGATTATAGGTATATACAATTGATAGACTATGTTAGGCTAAAAGTTAGCCCAACTATGTAATATTATATTATCTGTGGCCCAACATACACAGTCTAACTGGTCTGACTTTGTCTTCATTCTATAAAACTCTATTGGAGCGCCGCCATATTCAACCCTTAAAAAAGAACCCATCACACTTAATCGTGTAAACCAGGGAATTGGATAGTGGAAAATCACAGGTAGAAATAATTTGAAACAGTGTTAAAGGAAATTTAGTTACAGAACAGAGTTTAACATTAGCACACCATAACAGTTAGGTATGTCTAGACATAGAAAGTTAGCTACTAATTGTAATTTTATTCTACAAAAAATCAGCTTTCGGTCGCCATCGTAGCAAAATTAGAAAAAGATAAATAACTATTTTATTTGAAATTATTTATATCCAAGATCATAATTAGTAGCTACACATATGTAACTATATTACAAAATAATGATAAATAAAATAAATAAGAAATATAATTTGCATTATTTTAATTGATTAATTTTTAATATTCAATCTATGTCGGTTGCCTACTTAGAAAAGTAGTCCAAATAGTTTAGTCAAATAAAGATGTTTATGGAAATCCCAAGTGATAAATCCAATATATTCTTCGTTTAACCTTGTAATAAAATATCTCGTTAAAATGGTAACCCGCTTAATTATAATAGGTATACGAGATAACCACCCAGCTAAAAATTCATCCTAAGTACCTACATATTTACCAATTATCGTTTTTATTCCTCATTCTAAATTGTGTTGAAGCAGCTTTATCTTTTTCTTTTGATCAATACTACAATCCCCCTCAGACAGTTATTAATTGTATTTATATAGTGGAACTGTATAGGTACACTACAATTCCTGTTACTACTGAAAACATTTATCTTAGTTTACGCAGAAGTCGTTTCTCGCTAGACTTAAGGTCCATTTCATAACTTTGAGCTCTTCCAAATTTTCTACCACCTTCATTTTTTTTTAATTTTAATTATTAAGTTACTTTCTTGTTTATAACTCAAACGAAACTGTTGCGAAACGAAATTAATTTTTATTAAGGGAATGACAATTTTTAACCGTTAGGATTGTTGTAAATTGGTGTGTTAGGTAATTGTGAATGCAATTTTAGCAGTAGACACAATAATTTCTTCTTACAGCTATTAATTTTTTGTAACAATTATAAGTATGTAGTTATCTAAATTTACTTCATATTATATATTAATCATAATCATTTTAAGTATCATAGACGTTTATTTACATTTTTTGTTATCGTTTCTTTTATAAGTTTTTCCTTATCTTTATCTTCGCATACCAGTACCTACTAGTCTACCATGTATATTATGGTCTGACTGACAAAATACAAGCAGATCTTCAATTTTTTATAATATGTCTACAACATTAGAAATATTATAAAAAAAAATATTAAATGTTAGACACATAATATTTTACTTGATTTGGTATAATAATAACGATTAATCCAGCCCAATACCTACGTACGTACATATTAACCGCAATAGAATATTGTGGTTCTTAATTGTTCCATTAATTACTATATTTAAAATTCTACTTTTAATATATTTTTATACTTACAAGTTCAGGTATTCATT